ATTATGAAAATTAGGTGAGTTAAAATACATAAAGCACCACTTGAGAGTGGGCTGATCCGGGTGACTTGCTTCCCAAAGCAGGTCTGCAATAGGGATCCTTTTCAAGACTGGCGCTGGGGCCTGATCTGGGTTGAAATGTGTTCCTCTGTGTTGTCCTGGCCCCAGGATCCCAAAATTTGAACTTATTTGGAAATAAGGTCCTTACAATGTAACTAGTTAGACGAAGTCACACTGGAGTTGGGTGGGCCCTTAATTCAATATAACCAATGTCCTTATAAGATAATGGCCATATGAAGACAGAGACACAGGGAGAAGACCAAGGGAAGATGAGGACTGGAGTGACATCAAAGGTTGCTGGCAAACCACCAGAAGCTAAGAAGAGGCAGGGAGGGTTCCCATACAGACTGTAGAGGGAGCATGGCCCTGCTGACACCTTGACCTTGGACTCCTAGCCTCTAGAAGAGAGACAATTTCTGTTGCTTTAAGCTACACAGTTTGGCCCTAGGAAACTAACATAGGGCCAAAAGGAGGGTTCAGGGGCCAACAGCCTTTGGCTTCTTCAGCCTCTGTTGTTTCTTGCTTTTCCCCCATTTGTGGCCTTCAAGGCTCTTTGAAGGATCTCCCCACCTGACTTGTTCTCTGGGCCCCATCCTTGGAGCCCCTCACTGGGTTTCAGGCTTCCTCTGCCTCCTCCCAATTGTCTCTTGATTTGCAGTGGGGCTGGGGTGGGTTTGAACATGGTAAGGCATCTTCTCCTGTTCTTAGTAAGCCACTGGGTTGAGGTTGGGGAAGCACTCAGGCCCCAGTGGTTGGCAGTTTTCTGGATGCTGTAGAATTCTTAGCACTTCTTGTGGCCTTAAGCACCAATCTTCCAGGCTGCAGGAAAAGCCCCACGCACCATCCTGTTACTCCAAATTTGCAAGCTCAGCTGCAAATAAGTTCCAGGCCACCAAATGATCTTTATCCAGTCCCAGCCTGCACCATCAGGTCTCTGGCATTTAAGCAGTCAATTCCTTCTGCCTTCAATGACCTAATGACAGTTCTCTCCTACAGAAATATTCTGGGGCCAGCTCCTATAAAAACCGCCCCCTTCCCCAGTATAGGTGGATGAATGAATAAATAAGTGAATGAATGCAAAGCTAATATAGTCTCAGATCCACCAAGGAAGGACAGTGTGAGGCCCTGGAGCTAGGCTGCCTGGGTTCAAATCCTGGGACCAAGACTAGCTGTGTGACCTTGGACAAGTTACTTAATGTCTTTGTGTCTCAGTTTCCTCACCTACAGAATAAGGATAATAATAGCACTTATCCCTGAACTTGCTGTGGGGATTCAGTAAGATAATGCCAATAACAGATTTGTGTGCCTGATGCTAATAAAGGTTAGCTTCTTTGTCATCCAGGGAAAGAATCTCGGTATCTTTATGCCTCATCCTGTGCCCATGCTTAGAACCCCATTTCCTTACTTAGGTCCAACCTAATCTTTTTTTCACACATTGGACTCAGCTAATTCATCCACTGCTGAGTAATTTATTCTCAGAGTGTGCTGGAGACTGAACAAAGGTTGAGGTGCTGCAGGCTGGATGCATGGGGGAGAAATACATTTTTATTTTGAGGAAAAAGAATATGTAGAAAAATCATTCATGTGCCAAAAAAGGGCCAGGACTAAATTAAACCTTTTGACTTGAACCACCGATTAAAGCATTACAATAGCAGCACAGGCCTGTAATCATGTTGCTATGTGCCTTCATGTTGGACAATGACTGCAGGGCCCCCTTTAAAAATCAAAGCATGACTTGGTGGCCATTCTCACAGGGAAATAATTGCTGTGTGTTTCTGAAGGTCTCCTCTCTCCCTTTATTTAAAGCACCTAGGAGGTTTGACGATTAAAATCCAATAAGAGATGAGAAGGAAGATAAGGGATCTCCCACCAGTCCCACCACCTTGGGACCCAGCAGGGATGCAGACAAACTGGAGCTGAAAACACTGCAAAATATGCAGCATCATACCACAGACTGTCAAGCACACACCTTCTGCTGTGAGAAAACTGGTGCTGAGCAAAACTTCTGTATCCCACAAGTGATGCATGCACAGCACTTTTCAGCTTGAAAATTATTTCCATACTCTTTATCTCAAACATCCTGTGTGTGCAACCAGGCATGAGTACTGAGGCTCAGCAAACAGGATGAGGTTCTCAAGGTTACTCGAGGGACACAGCTGGGACTGGGTCCCAGTCTCCTCAGAGGCAATCCTGTGCTTTTTCACCAGACTAGTCTATCCCCGCCTTCTCCTTTCTTCCAGAACAGACCCAGGTCTGTGCATGAGGCACTGACACCCTAGGAAGACAGTGTGGCCTGGTAAAGAACATACGGGCTGTGGTCTCAATTTTTGTACTTGGTAGAGGAAGGCAATTCCAAATAGACCCAGATGCTTGGAAAGCATCAAAGGAAGAGGAGAATTTGAGGAAACAGGATAGGTGAAAAATCGCTGGGGTGCCAGGAGGGCATTCTGGTCATTCCAAGATTAAGCTTTCCATGCTTCTGCAGACCTTGATGTGTTTGAGGGCTGGGGAGAATAAAGGAGAATAAATGGCTTTTCCTTAGTCATTCAAATGGCTTGAAAGGTAATTAAAATCAGCTGGATGCCACTCTAGTGGGAACTTCTGGTCAGGGTGATGGTACAAACCTGCCTAACGAACATGGAGATGACACCATGGACACTGAGAGGCATTATACAGAGAAAACAAAACTCTCGAGGTGTTCTGGGGCATCCAAGAACAACTAAAATCACTTTCTTTCTAGCTACCCAAGATCCAGATACTCTGACTGGCCTCAGGACCAACAGCCTGCTACGCAAGGAAACCAGAGTTCATGATTTCCAATCTCTTTACGGCCCTTCCTCCTCCCTACTTCCCTCTTTCTTTTATGCAAATCCTCTTCTAGCCTTTTTTAGATGAAGTCAAACTATACGGGTTCTCCTCTTTACCAGCAAATAGGGTGCAGACAATTAACTCAATGTCTGAGTTATTCTTTGACTCTAGGTTCCTTCACTCCTTAGCCGGCAAATGCCCCGTGGCTGGTCAATTAACCTCGTAGGCCTCATTTTTCTTCTGTGTAAAATGGAGATAATAGCTCCCACCTCTAAGATCATTTCAAGGAATATAAACGAGACAATCCACGAAGAGAGTGACACGTGTGCGTATCGCGTAGTAATGCTTTTCTACCATCATCAGCATTTGTAGTATCAGTTTCCTATTGCTGCGGTAACATATTACTGCAGACTTAGCTGTTTAAAACAACACAGATTTATTCTTTTAGAGCTCTGGAGGTGGAAAGTCTGAAACGAGCCTTCCAAGGTTAAAATCCAGTTGTCAGCAGTGCGGCTGCCTTCCTTCTGGAGCATCTAGAGGAGGATTAGTTTGTCCCCCCCCC